ATCTTCAAGTTCAGTGTAATGAATTCCTAATACCCATTTGTTTAGATTACTTGCTACTGTGACTGCTTATTGCACAACTTCTAAGTGCAGCACACATAGTAGAGCTGCTTGCATTTTTCCACTGCCTTTTCCCACTACTCTAAAAAAAAAGAAAAAAAGAAAAGGCAGCCACCTTGTCTTTGCCACAACAGGAGGTGACAGTTCATGATGCTGTCTCAGGATGTGCTAACCCAAGAGCAGCCCCAGCCCATGAGGGACGTTGGTGCTCCTGTAATGAGCAGTGAGGAAGAGGCACTAGTCTGAAGCACCAGCACTAGGTGTCAATTATTCTACCTCACCAGGAAAGAGTAATTAGAGAATAACTCCCTAATGCGTTCAACTCTCTCCTGCAACCCCCACTGGTTCTCATCCATCATCATGAAGACTTCTCTCAGTGATTCATTATGAAAGGGCTGCCTTTCCAAGGGAGGCACTGAGAGGAATTTTCCACTTCTCCCTCCCTTCCTCTCCCTGTGCACAGCAGCAATCTCATTTCATTACAAGCCCAGGATTCTAATGTCAGTGGCTTTGGGCATTTGCTAATAAGGAACAAGTAGTTTCCAGGAACAGGAGACACAGTAAGTGCATTAAAAAAACTCTTCTCAGAAAGAAAACCCATCACATGTTTCCAATAGGGGAGGTGAGCAAAAGGTAAGGGCCTGTGAAAAGCTGATTGAAATCCTGGAGGGAGAGAGAGGGCCTGTAAAGTACACAGTGAAAGCACTACCAGGCAGGATGACAGAGAGCCAAGGGCAAGTACTGGTTTACCTACAGGACTTCTAAGAAGAAATGTAGGGCAGATATATATTTGCACGTATAGGACCAAGAGGCACAAAGCATTTCAAAAGCAATAAGCGTATTTGGAACAACTGAACTCAGAAATATTGTAACAACACCGGGTTCTAACTGTCCCTTTTGCTGGTTTCTCCTTGAAAAGTAATTGCAAAATTTCTCTCTGCATGAAGTTGTAAGAGGACCTACCTACTTTAGTGAAGCCCTTGGATTCATGTGTATGTGCACATGCTGCACACCTGTACAAATACTGCAAAGGAGAAATTACTACAACTTCATTGAGCTATCCTAGTTGAGTTCAGAGGATCCTACAAAGAGCTGGCAGTTTTTAACAGACATCAATTTAAAGAGAGCTGTTTGCAAACTGTACTATTATAGTTGTACACATATTATACCTATATATATATATGTCTCCATATAGTTTTATTCTAAAGTAAATTCTCCATGTTCCTTCTTTCAGGTACATATTGGACATGTGGTATCCTTCTGGACCTGGAGTAGGAGTGTTCCAGTTGCTGAAGAGCTGCCTTTAGAGCACCATCAAAGTGGTTCTACACTGAGGACATGTAATACTTGAGAGCCACCAAGTTCCTCTCTTCAAGACATCATCTGGAGAAACAACAGTACTTGAAATAATACCTTTACTTAAAATAAAGACTTAAAATCAAAGATACTAGCTCTTTCAAATTTTGAAGGTTTGAGAAAAAATGCATTTAGGGTAGGAACTGAACAAAGTCAAATCAAATTAACTGATGTAATGGCATGAAAGTCAACCCTTTTGTGGAAGCTGAATATTGTGTGCTCACTAAAATTATGTTTCCGAAACTCCAGGTTTGTTTAGTACTTCTAAAGTAATAATTATAATTACACAGCAGAAGATAGACTGTTCTGCTCTTTGTTTTTTAAAAAAGCAAAGTAAAACTCTGACTTGTTTTCTGTCAGCTTCCTGTGAGAATGCCACATGAGAAAAGTTTAAGGCTAAAAACCTGTCTTTCAACAGCTGTTAGAACATGTCAGGAATACCCAGAATGTATTCAATTTATACAAGAACACTGACAGTCTAAAACTGTGAAAAACTGAGTAATAGCACGTATCGCTTGCTAATTTAAAATGATGATTACTAGCAAAGACTAAATATCACACATAACATTTAATTTCAAAATTCTAGTCTATATTTATCCCAGTTAATGAAAATTATTTGCTCCTTATCAAGTCCTTTTTAATGGCAATCTGAAGTGGAGATAAGGTGCGTGGGACAGGAAGAGAGGGATCCATCCAAAAAGCTTGACACTTTCTAGCTTTTGGTATTTTAGTGTAGCATATAAACACATCAGTGAGATTAGATTCCCCTGCTATACCTTCCTGCAGGCCTCAGTGCCTGTATTTCTTTCCCCTTTGAGACGCTGTGAGAAAACTGTTAGCAAAAAGAATTTGGCATTTTACCACTGCTTAGGCAGAGTTTTTATGCCTTAACAAGCCACAGCAGGACAGAAAAGCACTATGCAAACTGATCTACACTTACTCTGGGCACACAACACAAACTCACTTGAATTGCTAAAAGACAAAAAAGAACTGATAATCAAAAATAAAACCACCTTCTTATTATGCTCTGACCTCTGCTTTATAAGGGAGGTTATGATTTTATTACTGGTCTTCTATGGTTTTAAAGGTTGGTATTTGGTTAATTTTACAGAAAGCACCAATCTTCATTAATATTAAAGAAAAATCGAAGTATTGTAGTCATTGATAATACGTCATATTTTATTATAGCCTAACTGCACCAAAGTGTTTATTATACACTATTAACATGATTGCTGAATGTAGCTAACCAAAATTTATAACAAGCTTTGTAATATGAGGGATTCCTCATCAGTATCACTATATTCTTGATAGATGTTGTGAACTGTTTGTGGCAATGCTGAAATTTGTTCATTAACAGTACTTATTACTGAAAGGACATTTTCTCCCTATTCACATAAAGTACTGTGGTCACAGTATTAACTATATTTCTTTTTTCTACACTGAGTAAAATTAGCAAGTGTTATTAGCCTTATCTTAGTGAGGGGAACTGAGTCACCCAGATTATACAGTGCATATCAAAAGTTTATAGCAAGGAAGGGAATAATGGTCTGATAACTCAAGCTACTGCCATAATCACTGGATTTCTTAAAACCCCATAATTATTCCATGTACCTGTTCTGTAGTCTCAGTTTTGTTCCTTTGTCCAGCTCAGCCAGCAAGAGCTAATACCACCAGATGCTACTTCTCTCTAAAATGAGGTAATGCCAGATAATTCTAGATAGACAAAGAGTAGAGAAATTAATACTGCTTTAGTTAGGAAATTAAATAAACCAGTGATCTACAATGTTTCCCTGGGCTGTTCCCATTGAATATACGAGTTATCACATTGCTGTACTGTATCTGCTCTTTTACACAAACTGCTCTCTGGAAACTCGGTGTCTATGCTCCTAAAGCACATAAGGACCTATCACCAGGGAAGTAAAATATGTGAATTACAAGAGTGGATGCACTGGGGTCTCTCTACCTTTATGTGCGAGACCACTATCAGAAATTCATCTGAACATGAATTTACATTATGGTTAAACACATTTTGGGAAAAGGCTTTTAAAAAAACCCCAAACTTACATATTGCTTCAGTGGTAATAACACTTTACTGATTCTATGTTTTTAAAGTTTCTTTAAACTCTATACAGCATTGGTTAACTAAATGTTGATATAATAAAACAGCCATACTACAGTATTGAATTATGTTCATACTTATGGTACAACAAAAACAATTTTTCAACCTAAGTTAATGAAGTACAGACACTGTTGTCATAGAAACCCAGACTGTTGTCCAAAAGGTTTTCTGGTGCTACTGTTTAAAAGGCAGTACCAACAGCAAACTTGAAATCTCACGGTCACTTTAAAGGCAAATGAAACACTATTTCCAAAACAGCCCGCAGTTTCTGGCATCAGCTTTTTACTAAGGCTGGAAATGTAAAAGATTGACAATACTAGCATTGCAGCTTGGAATTCAAAGAAAAAGGAAAATCTGCAATTTTGCTAGTCAAGTATACAAATCTGATGCTAGCTCAGTCAGTACAGATCAAGTTACATTACTTGTCCTGGAAAGAAACACTCTTTTGGGAAGAATAATAATTCTTTCAGTCAATCTTCACAAGTTGGGCCCAAAAGAAGGAACTAAAAATAGCAAGATAAGACTGAGGGCAGTAGTTAAGTTTCTAACATAACAATGGGAGAGGCCAGTCTGACTCATTAGCAAAGAAAAGATAACTGGAAATGGGAGATTAAAAGGCTGTACTCAGTTCCACACAATTCCCAGACCTCCCAGTAACTCAATCTGAACACTGTGAAAGATAGGTCCAAGAAGGGAGGTTCCTAGGATAAGAACAAACAGTCTCAGTCTTTGCTCAAAAAAAAAAGCGGACAAAATAGACAAATATCCACTTGTAAAAACAAAAACGTACCCAAAAAACTTAAACTGCAATAAAAACCTCAAAGGACTGTATTTTATCTAAAGAAGGACACTAGTGTCAGCAGCAATTGTTTCATAGTCTTCAATGATCCATAGGTCTGAGACTGCCAAAAGAAGGTTTGTTCAGATATTTGGTCTGTTCTCCCTAGAAGCCTATCTGGGTACCCTCTGGGAATATTGCTGTCCTGGCAGAAAGCTATAGGCTGCGGCAGATTCAGGAAGTTTTTAAAATGGTAGGAAAACACAGACTGGGAGAGGCTCCATTTTCCAGGCCCAGCAGTGGGAAATATTTATTTAGGATATTTTTCTGCTAACAAGAGAAGACATCCACATGGAACATTAATATCGTTTTTGTTCTCCTATTAGATCTTTATGCAGTACAGTTGCAGCCTAAAACAGAGACTGACACTGGTACATCTGGACATACTGTGCTGCTAGAAATGTACATTGGAAAATGTGGCTTTGAGAAATCTTTCAAGAGCTTTACAAAACCTGTCACCTGCTTGTCCCACCAGAACAGTGCCAAAATTGGTGGGGTAACAGAACAAATACATTTTATGCTCTTAAAATTGGCAAATGCCACAAAACCTATATAAAATTATTAAATGAGAAATTACCACAAAATGCAAGAATTTTCTTTGTCTATGGAAAAGGAGACCAGAAGCTGATTTTTTGACTGAGCACTTGTCCTAACTAACTGAATTAAAACAAATAGTCATAATAGGCCTATTTATTAGCACAGTATAAAGAACTCTGACTAAAGTCCTAAGTGCAGGTACATCAGCAACTGGAAGTCATAACCAGCTGTTAGCTACAGAACTTTCCAGGTACCTCTATTTACATGGGAAAAAAAGTTCAATACTGTTCAGCAGTTCTTGATATTTTCTGCCTTTACACACATCCTCTTTCACAATGTCTGCTGTAAAATACAGGCAAACATTATTTTATAATGTAAACCTTTACTTAATGGCAGCTTTTAAGTCTTCTGTCAAAAACATATCCTTAAGCAAATGGAATACATAGGCTATGAATCTTAGCCAAACTGAAAGCAAAGTAAAAAACTTCTTCAAGGCTTCACTATATTTTGTTGACCGTGGGACAAAAGAAGCCCCAAATCTCTCTCTCTCTCTATATATATATCTATACCTCAACATGTTGTAGTTCCACAGGTTTTTTTTAGACACAAGAGTGTTTTCGAAACCCCAGCTCAGTTAAAGCAAGCTAAAAGGTGCCTTTCTCCTTTCTCTCCCCATATTCTTTCCACTCATCATACTTTTCCAATAGGGTTTTCAAAATCATAACTGTGGCAAGAAGAAACTTCCCTGAAGACAGCACATAGTGCTACCAGCCACCTTCTGAGGATTCAGGATAAAATCTTCTGGTCATCGCACAGGCGAGAATGAAGACTTCCTCTTTCAGCACCTTCCACAAAGTCTCATCTTCCAAGGTTTCACTTCAAAAAACTCCTCCCAAAGCAACGAAACCCCAAACCCACAACTACCACCGCTAAAAAAACTCCACAGAATAAGCAGTCATGTTGCCTGTGATCTATAGAGACTGTTCACAGCCTTCTCACTGACCACCTCTCTCTCAGAACTCTCAGGGTTGGAAACCTCCTGTGATAGAAGAAAAGGGAAACAAAGTTAGCTGCTAGTTAAACAAAGTTAGTTGCTGTTATGCTTGGTAAATTAAAAACTACTCAGGATATAAAGTCCTCAAAGAAGGCATACGATAACCATATCTCCTAGAGCAAATCCTTGTTACCCTGCAGTGAGCTTGTATCGTGGAAACTGTCATGTCTCAGATGATGCTCTAATAAAAGAGTATGGTGTCAAATTCACAATGCAAGCTAATATGTGACTGCAACCAGGTGAACAGATCTTTGGTGTTATTTTGTTAATTTTACAAAATACATTTTAATCCCCACACTTCAGTGATAATTAAGCCTCATGTCGCACCAGTGTTTTCTAAGATTTAAAAATATAAAAAGCCTTGTCTCTTAAAACAAATTCTTCCAAATTACCATTTAATTTCAGTGCCATACTGTCACTCTTACATTATCATAACTGGTTTTCCTGGATTAAAGGTACTATTTTCAAGTACCATTCTTGAAGACAGATTCTTTTCTTTTTCTAGCCTTTCTTCCACCTCCCCCATTATTTGTAATAGTGGAACTGACAAGATAGCAAACCTAACCTGGGATTTTGAGGGGTAGAAATTAGGGTGGTGTTTTGGCTTTTTTTCACACCTCCTGAAAGGAGGTGTACGAATCAGATTTATTTTTAGCTTCTCAGCAACAGAGAGATGCCAATTCCTGTTTCTGTCAGTGCTTTAAATACTTTTGGCTTTTCACTGCAAAGTAATTCCCACATCTTTATTACAGAGTCATCTTATGCCCTTTGTGGAAGCTTGCTTTCACTCATCTACAGCATCCAGTTTAGTTTAGGAACAGGTTTGTTGTCTCAATCTGTCAGTTTTAAAGTTCATGTTTAAGAACTTAAAAAAAATAACAAAATCGACACCACTAGCTGACAGAGTGGAGGATATCAAAGAGAATTTTGCACTTCCAATTCCTACAAGAACATTTAGTCCAGAATGTTTTCATAAGAAAATTAAAATTGCAATTTAATTTTTAAGGCTTGAGCTTTTAAAATGGAAACACAGGATTTATTATTTGCAGAATAAATGATTTATAGTCCTAAGACACAGTATTGTTAAAAACCCACCTTTCTGGTAAGCATAATTGTTTCAGAAATTGTTGCATGTGACGTGTTTATGGAAATAGATTGTTAAATTCTCCACAGAGGAGTAGAACTTTTTCACCTCCTGATACATTTTGGATTGACGCAGCAGCAGCTCTTACACAGTGACTTTCAATCTGGGACACATCTTTATTTCCCATCAAGATGAAAAAATGCTTTCTCAAAAATAAAGCAGGTCACAAGATACAGAAATTATCCTTTAAAATATTACAGAACACACTTTTTCACAGGATTCACACAGGGTACAGTTTCAGCTTGTTACTTTCAATACTCACAGTAAAATACTTTTTCAAATAACCTAAGTGCAGCTTAGAGCCATCAAATGCCGGTTTATATTGTTCTGCAGAAATACAGGATTCAAAGTGTCAGATGAGTTACTCCTTCTGTGTTCAGACTTGCTCAACCACTTGTGCACTACATCAGTGTTGAGAGAGGTTTCTTGGAAAGCCTGAAGCTTCAGTTCAGTTTTCTTCTGTTCCAAATGAAGCTCTATTTTAAAGAATAAATGCAAAGCTCCTGTGCTCTGATCATCAGGATAGCTTGTATACTGAAGATGCCATAATGCCCTTTAGGTTCTGGATGTCCATGTTGTATGGTAAGACTTTCCCATTCAGGCAGATTGTCCTGAATGTTTACAGTCACTTAAATTTGTGGAGAAGGAACAGTGAGGAGACCAGTTGGCTTGATCTTATTGATTCCTCCATCTAGGATGCAGACCCTTGGGTATTTGTTTTTCACTAGATGAGCTGCAAACTGAAAGAGATATATCATTAGCACACTGCACATTATAGTCTCTAAATTGGAATAACTTTGCGTTAAGTAAGGCAAGTTAAAAAAAAATTTTAAAAAATTATTAGCCCCTAGAAGTCTTTTCTTTGCAACAACTAATCCAACACAGGAGCCCAGGCCTGTCTGTTGAAACAGCTGGGATGAATTTGGTGGTCATAAAGTGTCACACTAATAACATTGAACTTCATTTGTCTCTGCTTAGGCAAGATTTTACTTTATTCTAACAGGACTGTTTAATCTCAGAGCAATCACTGAACCTCTCTCAAAGCATGAACTAACAGATATTTTTCCCCTGCATTAATCTAACTCTCAGCTGTTTTCTGTAGGTTCCCAAGTGTACAAGCATCAGGGTTTGATGGTATTGTCATTTTCTTACCTGTCAAGGTTGGCTGATGTAATTTGATTTCACAGGATGTCAGATATGAATTTGGGGTCTAGCAACTGTACTCTCCCCTGTCCCCACCAATCTGCCCACAGGCAGGTTGAATAGTACAAGCACATATCCCCCCACCCTTGCAAGCCTCTCTCCCCAGCTAGTTCATTCTATAAACCAAACACAGCATTTGCCAGTTTCCATGTAGTAACTTTGTGAAACACGACTACAGTGATGAAGAAACCGTATTTTGTATATAAAAACTATGATAAGAAATATCAAAATCATGTATCAAAATATCAAACCCCAAAGGAACAATATTTTATTACATGTCAAACATGCCTTCTAGATACTGACTACAATGCATTAAAAAGCAAGTCACCAAAGTAGATTAATCAGTGATAAATCAATAGTTTTACTTTATTTGCAAAAGCTGTGAGAGACTGTCCTGCCCTTCCAGTCTTTGAGATTGCTCTTTTTTACTTGGTTGGCAAACTAGTATCATCTGTAAAATCACTGAGTGCTTCCAAATGGGCTATGTAAACATTTGTAATTCCATTTTTGACTCTTTAAAATAATTTGTGATGCTATTTGAGAACCTATTTGCAAGTGGGATGTCCAAGTAATTAACTTTGCATGAACAACTAAATTACCAACACAAGAACAGCTGTAGGCATCCCAATTAAATTTAATATATAGGATTTTTTTTTTTGTTTACATTCCTCCTAATTACCTGTTACAGTGTAACATATATTGAGGCAGAACAAGATGTACTACATGACTACCTAATCCAGTACAAGTCCTGAAATAATCTCTTTAACAAATAAGAGTTCATAATAATAAAGTTTTAACCTTTCCTAGCCAAAACTTTTGCTTCACATTGAAGATATTTTATATAGGCAAGGAACTTATTTCTGTGCACTTATATGTCTAATGTAGCTACTGCATTCCTTTCTCTGTGTTTAGGATGCATTTAACCAGGGAGAGAGCAACTGTAACCACTGAGGACTTATTGCGGCAGAGTAATAGGTCACAGTAGACATTTTGGCTGTTACGTTTGTTTCAGGTACTTGCCTAAGGAAGACCAAAAGGATCAATCTGTCATCTCTCCTTCATTACTTTGGGTCACTCAGTACTGGATTCAAAAAAACAAATTAAAAAAATCCCCATGATCAAACAATCAAAACTAAGTAGTAATAAAGTTAAACCATACGTGGATGCCAATTTTCACGAGCAAAGTAAATGCCATACTTTTAGAGAGGTTCTTGGCTGCACAGGTGGTGTAAATATACACAGAGATATCACTTGGAGAGTGCAAATACCTCTTGCTATAATCACAGTCCAAAGATGTGGGGTACAGTAAAACAGAGACAAAGATAATTCTCTTTGTCAAAAATAGCGCTCAGCTGTGCATACCATGAACTACAAAAATAGTTTATATTCCCAGTGAAATACTATCAGATATCTTTACTTCATGTGTACATATCTATCACCTCACAGTGCTCTCCACTTGTGACTAATGGATAGTGCTCTGTCTTGGACACCAATAGCTGGCAGAAATGAAAAATGGCAACGAGCATTCTGGCTGAAAGGAAGCAGCATGTTATTTCCTGAGTACAATGTTCCATGTGTCAACAGAGAGGTTCCACTCTGACTACTGATAATTGTAAACTGCTAATAATAAAGTGTAAACTCTACTCCAAATGTTTGGATGCCCTATCCATAATATAACTACCATCCAATGTACTCTTAGAAGAAAATATGCAAACAAGCGCTTTGTACTTAGGGTTTGAGCATTAAGGCCTGTGTCTCACTGTATTTTAGAACTGCTTTAGTAACAAGGTATGGAAATAAATTTTCTTCACTGCATATGACAAGAGGTTACTTTTAAACCTTAGGGTGTGGAATTTCTTGCTTCTTTCAGGGCCTCTGAGAAGCAAGCACTGCAAAATCTGTGGTTGATATACCACAAGATGAACTGCCTTTTTATTTTTTTTTAAGTTGTCACAGACAACTGTTTGCTGTTGTCTACCTGGTTTCAGTGAGAAAGGCTGCAAATATAGTTAGGAATATTGTGTCTGAACCTCCAGTCAGGGAAAATCCACTGAGCAGGAAATGTACTACTATTGGCATCTCACTACTGTGGGAATTAGCTGCAAGTTGGGCGCCTGGAGGCATACACATTGACATAAGTTGAGAAAATATCAGCCTCCAAGAGCTTTGCACATACATCTGTCCATGCACTGCAAAGAAGAGTCTGGGTTTAACTCACACGGTAATAGCATTTGATCCAATTAAAGACATTCCTAGTTTTTACCTTCTGCCCTCCCACATTGTGTCACTGAAAGTAGAAGTAGTAACTTCTGGCAATGAGTAAATTTGGAAGTGGACTCTTACTACCATTGTAGTCTTCCTTACTAAAGCTTTGACTTTTTATAGTTCTGTTCCTCAGTACATGTTTGTGCCTTCCTCTCCCAGACAGAGGAGCCCGTCTGCCACAGATCAGTACAGGAACTTGTTCCCCATGTTTCTGAAATGTTCCAACACCACCTGGTATCCTTCCATGCCAAAATATACTCTATGAAGCTAGTATTTTCAAAACACATGGAAATGTTATTTCTGGCATGTGCACTGATGGAGGGACATGAGAGGAAGGACTATTTGAAATAGCTGCATACATTGCCTCCCTAATTTGACCTTAATTTATGTCAAATATCAGTAGCTTGAATCCAAGGAATGAAGAAAGATAAAAAAAATTGTTTCCTAAAAAGTTGGAAAAAAAAATAAATCAGTGATCCGAAAGAGTAAAATTTCATGTGTCAAAAAAAGCCCAAAGTCCTCTTCTGAATGAATGCCACAGATTTTCTACAGCAGAAACTACAATCTTGGACTGCATGTGTGGGCTCTATTTCCTTTATGAATGCTGTCATAAAGTGTCAACTAGAAGTTTACTAACAGGCACCCAGATATGTAATTTGTAGTCCGCTAAATAACCTAATTTACAGAGTTGCTGTTAAGACAGAAGATAACATGGTGAAGAGATAAGCAAATGGGTTACATCATCCTTAGTGACCTGTAAACCACTTACATTTTTAAGAGAGATTTACTGAAACATAAAAGTAGTGCATAATTAAATTCACAATTAAATTTCCATTATACAGAAATATATTTCTATAAATAGAAATAAGCTGTCATTTATAAGACGATTACGCTTTCTTAAATTTATCAAATGTTTGTGTTGATGTAACTTTTGGGATATATCAGCTTCCCCATACCACCAATGGATCACATTCCTCTCTAATGCTTCTGTTTTCATTTAGACAACAATACTAAATGGGGAAATGGAGTTTTGCCTATCTGAGGTAGAGGATTAAAGGGATGCCACAAGACTTTAAACTTTTTTCTTTCTGCCTCAGGTGGCCTTTCCTCATAATGCACTTCCCAAACTCAGTTACCATGTTTTCACTGGTGACATCTAGAGTTTAAATTGAATTTTCTCTTTTTACTTTCACAGCAAATACTATATATTAAAGGATGAATATGTGAGTAGCTTGTTTAATGACTACTATGTGATGTCTTTGGTGAAGACTATGGAAACACTATTCCTCTATAAAGTAATGCATCAATCAATTCCACGTAAAACACCCTTCTTGGTGAGCATAACTGAGCCAGAAAATTGTAATTTGCATTTGAAAGCAGTCAGTTACGACTCTTCATGCAGATACAAGAATTCAGGCTTTCAAAGACACACAAGATCACAGCAAATTATATCAAAATTTGGGCAAATATTAAACATTTTACCCTGCATTGGTGATGCTCTCAATACAAACAGCATAACAGGACTGCTCCTTTAAGTACCATCAAGAACCTTAATAATCTGCACACTGGCACATTTATCAAAATGTTTCTTCTACCCTGTTCCAAGCAGTAAAATAACAGCTTTCAAGTGTGCTGAATGTATTATGCCAGGCATGTCACATTTTTACACTGTCTACAGCAGAGAGTCTAATAACACAACAGCTTGAGCAGCCCTGTTCCCAGCACCCTTCAGGCTAGCCATGAGGGTTGCTATGTACACATTATTCACTTTCACAGACATTCTTGTGACAGGCTGTAATTAAAGGGCATGCTGGGAGGGAAGGAGGAGTAACATACTGCACCAGAATACCAAAAAAGACTGCTGTGACTAATGTTACCAGGGCATAAATATTAACAGCATCCTCTGAAAGAGTCAGAAGAAAAAGAGATACTTGAGAAGTTAGAGGAGAAATATCAACTAAATTTTGTAGTATTCATCCATTGCCACAAGGTTATTTATAGTTTTTCACTTGTAAACTCATGCTACACAAACCCGTCTGGGACTGCAGTCTATTTGCTTTGTGATTTTAGTCAAGAGTTCACCTTCACTTCTCTGAAAGAACAGCCCCATCAAAGTGATCAGTCTAGAGCTTTTTAAACAGCACTCTCCATATGCCACAAAGCAGACCCAGCAGGCAAGATTACTTTTAATCAGCTACTTCTGATATTAAAGGGTTCCAGATAAATGAAGTGACACTTTAATACTATGGCAAAGATAGGAACCTAAAGCCGC